TTCCACCCTCTTTATTTATTTTCTGATGCCACAAACTGTGTATGCACTGATTTTCCCTTCTTTGAGAAATGTGAGCTGCTAGACTCTTAGAAAGGTATTTTTCCCTTTGAGAGAGAACTGGTGGGTTGATGAGTAGTACTTGGGCCGACATTATTTACTTTTAAGTATTCGTTGCAAGCACTCGGATCCTTCTCTGCGTTGGAATTAGATCATAGGCCGCCGAGAAATTCACAGTGGTCATGATGGACACCCGCGACCTGAGGTCAGGTCAAAGTTTATTATTGTTGGTGCAAATTTGGCAAGATGGGTAAACTTCTGACGGTATTCAAGGAGTGTCATATTTCCCTGTTGCAGTTCAACAAATTCCTTACATTTTTCTTTGCAAAAACATTTAGGAATATATACTCCTGCTTGAATGCCCATTCAAAATATGCCCAAGTCCATGGCTTTGGGTTTTTTGCACTCTCATCGGTTCTCTTCAACCACTTGTTGCCAATAGGTACATTCAGATCTTCCAAGACTCGAGCAGTTTGCTCGATCCAATCCCACGCAATTTAGGGTTCAACAATGTGATCCCCAAGGAATATTTCAGCACCGCTATCCCTTTGTGTTTTGTAGGTTACCCACGTGGTGGCGGTGGTTGGAACATTGGAGCATTGGCTATTTGTTGTAAAACATTAGTCAGAAAAGCAGGAATTACGAGGTCGGGTTGATCGACCACCAGCTATTGGATTGTTTTCGACATTTTGCGGATTGTTAGGCTCATTATGGATGAGAGGAGTAGAGCTAGATGCTTCGGTATAAACACTGAAGTGTTCATTATTGTTGCCTTGTCCATGGGCAGTTTCTTGACTCATTCTACAATAAGAAAAATTCTTTTATTAGGATTCTTTTATTTGAGTAGTTGAGTTCATGACAGAAATTGCAAAGGATTACAATAATCGATACACTCAAAGGATTTGAAACGAACAACAAGATAAATTATAAACGTTTGTGTTCGATCAGTCAGATCGTGATGAATCTACAGAGGGGTCTTCCATGCCTGATCCACATATGCTATTTGTAGAGTCCACACTAAACATTTCTTTGGGATCATCTCGTTCCGACACAGCTTTGCGGCGTAGATAGATTTTTTGTTTCATTAATCTCGTGATGCGATGAGCACATTGATAACGTATCAGAGGGTAATATACATTTCGTTTATTCTTGCCGAGTATGTAAGTTTGACTTGAGTCGACACTTGATATCATTTAAGAGTTAACAGTCGTCATCTATGAAAATTAATTACAGTCAAATTTAATACTCAAATTTTTTTTTACCTTCCTCGTGCAGAGGGATGCGAGAGTCGAGGATGTGATTGACATTTTTTTATATGCCCAAAATTATATATATATATATATATATATATATATATATATATATATATATATATATATATATATATATATATATATATATATATATATATATAGAATTTGGTTCCGGTGAGAATGAGATCTTACGAGAGAAATGAGAATGAATTTGGAACGTTAGATTAAGCACTTCAAGCCTTCTATCTTCAACATTTAATATGGGCAAATATGTATTTTCTCAAATTCCCGTTTCTCTCTCCCTCAAATTACGAAAATCATGTAATCTTCTCTCCCCAAAATCAACTCTTCTACATCGTCCTTCCCCAATTCCTTCTCAATTGTTTCTCACAGAATCCAATTTTCAAGATTTATGTTTCCTTATAACATATGAATCTCCGATTTAAGAGGCACAAGAAAAATAGAATAGAGAACAGTAGTGATGGTTGGGGCTGCTCCTACAAGTGACGACTCTTTCACCGAGAGCCTGTGAAGGCAGCGGTTGGCTTCTTGAGTGGCGGCTACTGCTCAGATGAAGACGGTGGTGGCTCCCGATGGAAATGACAGTGACTAAGGACTAGGGTTGCGAGTCCTGTGAGACGGCATCCTCGATTATGTGGCAGCGGATGTCCTCCAAAGTGGCGGCTGTTCAGTGATAAAAAATTGGCAGATGAGTTTGCAGTTATATTTTATGCAATAACACATTATTTAATTTTTTTCATGTCCATATACATTTAGGCTAAGAAGATGTTTAAGTTTTTATGAACCCAAAAATATTCTTCATTGAATTATTATATGCAGAACTAATAGTACATACTTGCCTTATGTTATACCTTAAGTTGCATTGTGGTGGCTTAAATTGCATTTTTGGGAGAATTCTTTCACAATTTTTTCTCACCCGCGTATACAAATTAGTTTGGAAATTTTGCAGTAACCAAGGTGTTTTCTTTCTTCTTTTTTACTTTTGTTTGCCTTTTCTGTTATAGTGCATTATCAGGACCAAAGTAACGCATTTTCTTGAGAAAGCAATGCATTATCTGAATCAAGGTAACATTTTCACAACTTTTGCTTCTAATTACAACAAAAAACTTTGTATCTCTGAAGCTTCTAAGAACAAATCCTACCCCATATGACTTGGAATTAATATTGGTAAATGACATCTTAATTTGAAATACATTGTGTGTGTATGAACTCATTAAACAGACCTTGCCGCGTAAAGTTCATTTAATTCTATATCAATTATTTGTGTAATTGAATTTATTCTTTAAATTCCTACTTTAAACCACCACAATATGCATTTAGTCATTTATAATGCATTATATCAAACATTTAATACATTATGAATATTTTAGAGTGCATTCTGTAGAATCCAGACTGATTTATAAATTTTTTATGAAGGCTTATTATATGTAGTAAATTCTATATTAGGATTTTGCATTGTACATTCTATAGTATGCATTTTTTGTGCATTATATAAAATATTTAGTACTTCAAAATGTTAGTACTTACATATTGCATTGGTACTTACCTACGGTGCTTTCTTAGCACTTACATACTGCATTAATTTCAGTGATTAGCCAATGGACAAAGAAGGAGCCTATTGATTACCCAATTATGTTGGTGCTTTGATGATATTACTAACACCAAGAAGATGCTGCACAAAGAAGGGGCTTTTTGCTTACATAGTGCATTACTACCTTGAGAACTTTCAATGGAAGTGTGCCTCAAAATGCTAGGGGTTTTGGAATTATACATGGATACATTTATTAATACCTTTGGCTAGGTACTAGATTATGGAATTGGAATTAGTGTATAATTTGTTAAAGATTCTTTTGCTTTTCCTTTTTAATTTTTTGTTTTTTCGAGATACTCATTTTCTTTCTTTTTTTAAAAACAAAAAGCCTTTCCTTTAAAGAAACAACATATTGTTCGCATCAATGTGAGCTTCATATTGTTCACCATGAATGTTTAATGGCTCCCCACATTGTAAAAACAATTATTTTTGTATGCATAAATAGTTTTCCTAAAAAAGAGTTTGCTCTCTATCAACTCATGTGGTTGGGTAGTATGCATTTTCGCATACCCGGGAGATGCTTTGTATCCTAAATATACAAATCATTGTTACCTTTACAATGATGAAATCATTCACTTTATAATTAATGCTCTATGAAATAATTACTTGTATTTTAGAAGTTTTGTTTCAAATGTATATTAAAAAAAGTGAAAACAAATAAAAGGACTCAAACTTTGAACCTAGCAGTGATTTAACTAGCTAGCTCCTATTGGCCATTTCAGGATAACACTAATTTGTAATGCCATTTCTTTTAGTTGCATGTTTGTTTTTTCACTATGGGGTTTAAGTCTTTATTACATCACCTTAGAAGTTTAAAATTTTGTTGAGGTTAATGTACTACATTTCTTTTATGAAACTTTTATTTAAAAGAACAATCTTTATAAACGAGAAGACTCTTTATTGTATTTGGTTCAACTACAATTTTAAATGGTTAAAGTGACTTGTCTTCCAAATTAGTGCCTATGTGGGATTCGAACCCACATTCGTATACAATCGCATACTGCTCTACCATTTGAGCTAATAGGCAATAAATTATTTTTTAAATTAATTGTGTAGTATTTGATCTCTTGAAATGCACTAAAAATTCCAATAAGTTATTCCTTTTCCCAAGATAGTACATTAGATATTATAGCCAAAATGCATTATCAGGTCTAGACACTCCAAACGCAAACTCTAGATGTGAACAATGTTACCACTGCAATCGCCTACATTAGTAACTAGACAATTACAAAATCAGTTCTTTCATGAACAACATGCAACATTCAAAATACCCCCAAATTTTAATCACACCCCTCATATTTGAATGAGCCCAATGCATTATAAAACTAACAAATCCACAAAGACACGCACTTTGCAAAATGCAATGCAGTGGCAGAGCTACTTGTACACCTCAATAAGAAAAAATAAAAAATATGCATAAAGTATACCACATGTTGCAGCAAAGTCCAAAAAAGAAAAATTAAGAAAAACTAATAACAATTGAATTGGAAAATGATTTTGGTGCACAATTGAAAACTAAAAATCAAATTGATGCTCATCTATTGGAAAATAGCTTCGGTACTCATATGAACCCAGCTATTGCTCCAACCCCTAAATTCGAAATTGTAAAAAAAAGAATTCCAAAAATACCTCTCAGATTGCATTCATCATGTAGCCCTTGCTTTTGTTTGGTTGAGAACTGAATCTCAAAAGCGCAATTGTGGCGTTGCAAAACCTAGAGAAGAATGTGGATCCGTGAATCAATCTATTCCAGTGAAGGAAAAGTCTAATGTTTTAATTTACAAGATTACCCCTATTGCCAAATCATTACCGATTTTAATGGAGACTAATTATTATATACCATAATTAATTGGTCAAACTACTGTATTTCATAATCACATCTGAGCCGCACGATGGCTTTGATCTAATGGCTGTATTTCATTCCCATTTCTTTCACCAAGCACCATTCTCATAGGAACCGCACCCTATATATATATATATATATAAATATATATAAATATATATATATATATATATGTATATATATACACATATATAACTCGAAAAATCCACCAATTGCGGTGGGGTAAGGTCCAGGCAGCCCTTACCAAGTATTATTAAATAAACTATTTTAGTACACGTTCGGAGAGGACTAGACCAAAGCTCCGAAAGTAAACATTCAAAACACGTTCGGGGGACCTGACCTAACCCCGAAAGTAAGGAATAATACAAAGAAACACAAAATCCAATGAAAAGGAAAGGTAGCACCAATAAGGACAAAAGCTTTAACTCTTACATAGTACCAAATCTAGATGTCCAACTATCCTCGTACTCACTCCAAGAAACTTGGAAGTTAGCCCTCTCCTCTGCGATACGAGCATTCACCATTCCTCTGTGGGTCGATCTGAAGCGCAGGAACTCTTCCTTTCAATTCTTTCCCAGACAAGAAGAAGAAATTGAAACCCAGGTTTGCTGGATTATTATCCCTTAGCATCCATTTTTTCCGTCTGTTTTTCCAGCTCCAATCCTTGAGTGTATTTAGAATTTTGTAGCGAACCTTGTTGATGTTAATGAAACCATTGTCGTGGATTATTCTATTGTATTCCTTCCAAATGTGCCATACAATGATCCCTGGGAGGATGATGCGTAGTTGACCTTTGAGTGTCCTTCTTCTGTGGGATAAGTTCCATTCCATGACGTGTTGGTTTAGGGTTAAAGATTGTCTTGATCTTGGTCCCTCTACTGCTTCTGCAAAGAAATGCCACAGATTCTGGCTCCAATTACACTGTAGGAAAACATGGTCAATGGTTTCCTCATTGTTCTTGTAGAGGTGGCAGATAGATACTACATGAAACCCCATGCGTTTTAAGTTATCAGAGAACGGTAGATAACAGTTCAGTGCTTTCCAAAGGAAGAATTTTACCTTAGGGATTTGAGCATTATTCCAATAGTATGAAAAATTGAGTTGAGTAGGCTTAGACATTCTACAAATGTTATAGGCTTTTTTAAGTGAGAAATCCCCCTCACCCCAGCTGATGTGATCTCCTTCCTCTGAAGTATGTTCCCTGGCAGTGGTATTGATTCTGCAGATTCTCTTCCAAGTTGGAGAGTCATAAATTCTTTCCTTAAGATCAGACTGTCTAAGGTATTTGATTCTCATGAATTTAGCCCACTTAGTGTTGTCTGTTTGAAATTTCCACCATAGCTTGATGGAGTAGGCTTCCTGTAAATCTTCTAGGCTTCTCAAGTTAAGTCCTCCTTCATTAGTTGGTACACACAGGTTGTTCCACTTGCTCCAGTGGTATTTAGGTTTACCATTCTTGAATCCCCATATGAAATTTGCCATCTTTCTGTGGAGAATCTGTATAATTGATTGGGGGATGGTGTGGACAGCTGTGATATGTAAAGGTATGGATGAGAGTACATGTTTGATCAACACAAGTCTCCCCATGGGATTGAGAGTGGTGCTAAACCAAGAGTTAAGATATCTGTCAAAGTGATTCAGGAGCTTAGAACAATGCTGTTTTCTTAACTTGCCTTTAACCATAGTTGCACCTAAATAAGTGAAGGGGAGTGTCCCATGATCCATACATAGACTTCTGAACATTGAAGCAATTTTAGTTTGGTTGACCTTCTTCCCAGTATAAAAGCTGCTCTTGTTAAGGTTCACTTGTTGCCCAGGCCCTTTCTGATAGTCCTCTAAAATCCTTCTAAATTTTTTCAAGTTTCTAGTGTCCCCATTGAGGAAAACCACTAGGTCATCTGCAAAAGCCAAGTGGCTTATCAATGGGTGATTTCCTGTGTTGTAGCTGCCCAGATAGGTGGAGTTCATGTGTAGGTTGATCATTCTTGTGAAGCCCTCACTGTTAATCAAAAAGAGAAGAGGTGAGAGAGGATCACCTTGTTTCACCCCTCTCTTCATTTGAAAGAAACCAACAGGTGAGCCATTTATAAGAATAGAGAGATGTGAACCTACTAGATTGGCCATTAGCAGCTTTTGTGAGTGTAAGTTGAACCCAAGTTTGTCCAAAATTTTAATAAGATAGCTCCACTCCACCCTATCAAAGGCTTTTTCCATATCCAACTTGACAATGCAATTGTCCCCTCTGACCTCTTTATCTAGCATGTGCACCATTTCTTCAGCCAATAGAATCTGTTCCTCAACACCCTTGTTCTTTTGAAATCCTGTCTGCTCTTCTGAGATAAATTTGGGCAGCAGTGTGGCCAATCTGGTAGCTAGGATCTTTGTATTAATTTTTCTCATGAAGGAGGAGAGGGATATGGGTCTGTAGTCTCCAAACCCTTTCGGATCTTCAATCTTGGGAATGAGGGTAATAAATGTGCTACCAAATGATCTGGGGACTGGAAATCCCAAGAAGAATTCCTGACAGGCAAGAATGACATCCACCTTGATAATCTTCCAGCAAATTCTAAAGAAATACCCATTGAAACCATCCGGGCCAGCTGCACTATCAGGATTAAGATTCATAATAACTTTATAAATTTCAGCTTCAGATGGAAGAGAGCAGATGAGTTGATTGTCTCTGTCATCAATGACCTGATCAATGAATTGAGAAATAATGGTTTCATCTCACTGAGTGACTATGGTGTAGCAATTAGAAAAATAGTGAATAGCCTCTCTGCAAATATCCTCTTGGGTTGTCAAAATGTTGCCTTGATCATCATGGATTGTTTTGATTGCAAGTTTTCTTCTTTTGCTTTTGACAAATGAATGAGAAAATTTGGAATTGCAATCTCCTTCTGACATCCACTTGATGTTAGCCTTTTGTTTCCAGAAGTCCACTTCTTTGTTAAGGCTAAGGATTAGATTAGCTGAGGCTAGATTAGCCTGAGCTCTCTTTTCCTCTGTTGGGTCATTTTCAAAATCCTCTTGGGCTCTGGCTGCTTTAATTTCATTATCCTTAACCTCCTCAAAAATGTTGCCAAAATGATTCTTGCTCCAGTGGGCCAGAACAGGTTTCAAACCCTTAAGTTTACTAGCAAAGCCAGTCATTCCTCCTGTTCTAGGGCTATGTGCCCAGTAATTACTGACCACTTCCAAAAAAACTATGGTGTGTAGTCCAAACATTAAGAAACCTGAAAGGTTTGGGGCCCTTAAACCCTTCTTCTTTGCATTGAATTAGCAAAGGCTTATGATCTGAGGTTGTCTTGCTAAGGTGGGTGAGATTGATTTCATTGAAGGCCTCAATAGCTGATTGATTATGAAGCACTATGTCCAACCTTCTCCAAAGCTTTCCTTTAGTTCTTGTGCCACTCCAAGTAAAGATTCCACCAGTGAAAGGTGGGGCTGTTAGACCACAAGCATCAATGCAATCACTAAAATCTTCCAAGTCCTTATAATAAGGAGAGGAGGAGCCTTTATGTGCTAGCTTTGTTGAGATCTTCCCAGAGTATTCTTCTGACAGTAGAGCAATGATCCCCATAGATAGCAGAAAATCTGATTTTGTTGTTGATGATAGGGCACCAGAAGTCTATGTGAATACATTGAGTATCCTCTCTGGAATCAAGAAACTGAAGAGTGTTATCTTTCCAAAAGATCCACATTTTATTGTTAATACCACCAGTTGAGTTTGAGAACCCCAATGAGATTTTATACCACTCCCTTTTCTTTTCAGCTACAATGGGTTCAATGAGACAAAGAAAGTCAATAGGGTTAGAAGAGATTAAAGCTTTTAGCCTGTTTTGGGAGGAGGCAGCTCCACAAACATTCCAGAACATACAATTCATAAGTGCTTTTTTTGGAGTCATTCAATAGTCCTAGCTTTACTCCTTGTCATAATTGTTCTAGCAACAGAGGGAGTCTCATGATTAACTGCTTTAGGAATTGCTAGCTTTGGTGAATTATGTTTAGGCATTGTAATCTCAAAGGGTTGAAGCTCTGAATTAATCCAAATAACTGGTTCTTTTTCTCCTTCTGTGTGATAACCTGCATCCTCAATGTAGTTCTCCTCACTGTCTCTGATTGTTTCAATATCCTCAAGCTCAATTGCTTGAGCCTGATTCAAAAAACTGTCATCTAAGGATATGAGAGGAGGTTTAAAGCTTGGTGTTGTTTTCTTTGAAATGGAATTAGAGTCCCCAATCCTTGATGATGTGTTGAGTTGATTGGAATTTCCTTTCTCATTATTCTGTAGAAATAAGTTAGTGGCAAAATTTTTGGCTGCTGAGAATGATGGAAAGTGATCCTGAACCTTGAAGATGGAATGAAGACCCCAAAATGGAGAGTGGGAGTCGGAAACAATATCCTTCTGAGAGGGAGAGTTGTGTTAGCCTTAGTTTGCTAAGCCTCATGTTTTGATGTTAACAAACAATATAAGAGCTTGACGTTTGTTTAAGTGTTTCAGGTACAACAAGAATCCATTAAGATTCGGTTCTCAAGAATGAAGTCGAAACACTAAACTAGCGTAGAATTTAGGTAGAAACCGATGTAAGGATATGATTTTATATACCTATATTCACAAGCTCAAAAACCCTCACAAAATATGTTTAAAACCCTTTTATAATCATTTTCAAACATCCAAAAGGTTTTAAACAAAATTGGAAATGATTTGGACAAAAATGAAAAAATTGTCAAAATGGTCATAAGGTACCTAGGTACCGTGAGGGGTACCGTGAGTTAGCCTGAGACGGGACCCCCCTACCGTAGCACGGGACCCCCCTACCGTATGGACGGGACCCCCCTACCGTGTATAGGTACCGTGTATAGGTACCGCCAGAGAGTTTTGGCCTGAGAAGAAAACCTAGCTACCGTACGGGACCTAGCTACCGTGACAGGGTACCGTTACCGTTGGAACACTATTCCTGATTGCTGATTTTTGAATTAATTCAACTCTAATCACCTCCTAACGGCTAATTAACATCTTCCACTATAAATATAGGCCTAATACTTCATATTTCAACAAGAAAAAAGCTCCAAACATCCTAATTAAATATCCTAAGTGTGTTCACTCCTTTATTAATTATTTTCTATATTTTGGCTATTACAAGAGCCTTAAAGTTCCTGATTTTTATACACACACTTTGAGCTTGTGTTTCTAGTTATATACTCTCATATTCATAAGTTTGAATTGTATTTTTGAGAGAGTATACTTGTCTTCTACACCGGCTAATTCTTCATTTTTATATTCAAGCCGTTGTGTAGAACTCTTGTTTGTGTTTTTCAAACACACCTTCTTACGGTCGAGAATAGCCGTTAAATTCTCACGTTGTAACGGTTAAGGATAGCCGTATAAATCCTTGGGTAAAGGTTCAAGGATAGCCTTTGAAATCCTTGGGGGAACGGTACGAGATAGCCGTTGTAAAATCTCAGAGTGAATCCTATTGGCAAGGGTTGTTTGCCAAACTAGTGCGGTGCTTTGACGGAGTTCAAGAGACGAGACTTAGTGGATTCGGAAATCCTTAAGGAGGAGCCTTAAGGTACTGGAGTAGGGAGTTCCCGAACCAGTATAAAATCGGTGTGCATTTACTTTATGCTTTTATTTTTGCGTTTTACTTATTGCTTCCGCATTTGCCAACACCGTTTTTATCAAACTCCGAAAAGATTTTTAAACGCCTTATTCACCCCCCCTCTAAGGCGTGGGCACAACGACTAAACCGATTAACAAGTTGAAAATAATTAAACTATTTTTCTGCACACCAGTAGGGTCTGGACTGTCAAAAGCTATCACTGAACCCTTACTCTTTTGGCTTGAAGTTGTTGTAACTGGATTATGGGTCCCAGATTCCACTATATCCTGTTGCCCCTTGGTTTCTGAATTGAGTAATGGAACCCATATCTGTTTGGATTTGGTGAATGTATCCTGGCTCCTCTTGGATAAATTATTTCCCAATGTCCAGCCATTCCCAACTGTGTCCACTGAGGATGGAGCCTGGCCCCTCTTGGGATTGTCTATTCCCAATGTCCAGCCATCCCTCACAGTAACTTTAGAGGAAGTTGCCTGGCCCCTCTTGGTTTTACCCAATGTCCAGCCTTTCTCCATAGTTACCTTGTGGTTATTGAGAGAGTGTGTTGCCTGGCACTTCTTAGATTGATTATCTAATATCCAGCCATCACTCCTCTTAGATCTATCACCAGTGGGACCCCCCGTATCCTAAATTACTCTGGCATCCTTCTGAATAGATTTTTTACTTTTAACCACAGTCCACTCTCCTATATCTGTAGCTTGATCCTTATCTGGCTTGCTTGATTTAGGGGCTGATTTTTGAAAATGACCATGAATCTTGCAAATAAAATTACCAGGGCCAAGCTTGTGACACTGCTCACAGAATCCTGGAACATTTTCAAACTTGCAAGGTAGGACTAAATCTCTAGGACCAATTCTAATATTAATTTGAGAGGGGAGTGGTTTTGCAAGGTCTATTTCAATACAACACCTTGCCTCATTGGTTCTTATAAGGTTGGCAGTTTGGAAATCCATGAGTAAAGGTTTGCCAATGGTGCTAGCAATGGTGAATAATGCCACTGGGTTAATAAAATGTGTGGGGAGTTTGCTGAAGGTAACCCATAAGGGAACTACAGAGCAGTCTTGGTGGGGTGAATACTCAGGGGACCATTTGGAAACATAAAACTTAATATGGTTGAAGAATCTCAGGTATTCCTCCTCTTTGTTTGAGAGAATAAGTACATCATTGTTGAGCAGTCTACGTAACTTGAATCCTCCTTGGAACCCAATCCCTTCAAGAAAGCTCTTGAGAATGTTGAGATTGATGAATATGTCTCCTCTTCCAACCAGGGCATACTGCAGCTTACTGCCAAGCAATCTTTCTTCATCAAGGGTGAATGTGGCTAATGGCATCTCATTGAATGTAGCCTCAATCTTTCCCAGGACTTTATTTCCTTCTTCTTGAAAAATCTGACTGAAAAATTTCTTAACTTGAGGTTGTGTATGCTGGCTATAGAAACTTTTAGGGAATTTATTGAATGATTTCTCATGGTGACTTGCCGGATAACTGCCCGGAAAACCAGAGGATTCCGGCGTGATTCTCTCTCTAGGCATGATTTTATATATATATATATATATACATACATATATATATATATATACATATAGATATATATATATATATATATATATATATATGGGCTCGTTCCTGTGAGAATGCACCTTGTGGAGAGAAATGAGAATAAAATCTAGCCGTTAGATCTGATGCATCGTGCGGCTCAGATTGCATCCTGCGCTCAGATTTTGAGATAGTGCATTTTCAAAGGATTTTGGTGCATTTCTACGTGATGCATTTTTAAACCTTTTTGGTGCATCTGATTTTGATGCAATCCTGGCCCTTAGATCTCACAATCTAAAGCACCAGATTCATTCTCATTTCTCTCCTAAGATCGCATTCTCACCAGAACATATATATATATACATACATACATACATATATATATACATATATATATATATATGTCCTTGAAATTAGGGTTCCATTCTTCCGTCTTCTCTTTCGTCTGAAATAAGGGTTCCATTCCAGGGGAAAAATGGTGAAGGGATGTCAAGGAGAGCGCATCAGACTCTATGTCAGGGGAACTGTCCTCGGCTACAAGAGATCGAAGTCGAACCAGTACCCGAACACCTCATTGATTCAGATCGAGGGAGTGAACACGAAGGAGGAAGTGAGCTGGTACTTGGGAAAGAGGATGGCCTATGTCTACAAGGCTAAGACAAAGAAGAATGACTCCCTCTACAGATGTATCAGGGGAAAAGTATGCCGGCCTCACGGAAACAGTGGGGTTGTGAGAGCTAAGTTCAAGTCAAACTTGCCGCCCAAATCCATGGGAAACAAGGTTCGGGTTTTCATGTACCCAAGCCATATCTAAGTGAAGATGGAGAATCAAGTTTTTTTGTTGCAGTGGAACTTGGACCCTCTAGCCTGCCTCATTTTCTTATCTTTCTATTTTCCTTGAGTTTGTTTGAGAGATATTAATGGTACAAACAATGTTTTGATTGTAGCATAATCTTCTTCTTCCCATCCTGAAATGAACACTTGGTTCCTTTAAAAAAAAATACATATATATATATATATATATATATTATAATTAATATTTTTAGTATTATTAAAAGAAAAAGAACAAAGAGAGGGGGGGGGGGGTGGCCCAGCCCCAACAAAGGGCCAAAAGAAAAGAAAGGAAGGGAAAGAAACAAAAGAGACCAGACTTACGCAAATGCTAAAACAAAAGGACAACCAAACATAAGAAACCTAAAAATAATTATGCAAGGGGAGCTACCAAAGATATACGTCCAACCCAATGTGTTCTGTCATCCCTATAATGATGCTTCGAAAATTGAGAATACAGGTTGCTGCACATCACACCAATGAGTAATTCGAGAGTGGGTAACCAGGTGATAGCAGTGAATCCAATTCCAGCACATGTAAATACTTATGGCCTTTGCAAAACAGAAGCCTTTAAATTAAACTTTTCACAATGAAGAACACATTGAAGCATAATGAGTCTGCCAGCTCCAAACAAAGCATGGCAGGCCAAAAACATGACTCCAGACATAGGGCACTGAAAAAAGCCAAAAAGCACTATAATGAATCTTGAACCATTTTGGCCAAAGACTGCCAGAGTAAGACCATTAGAATAGGGTTGTTCCGAGAGACACTAGAGCCCTTGTTGAATGTAATCCTTGCTAATTACAACCCAAAAAACATCTATGTCCCCAAAGAACATCTAACCAGGGATAAAGAAAACCAAGCAGTCATCCCTATCATTCGTAGTCGATTAGATGTTCACATAGTGGAGTAATGATAGGTACGTCAATGTTTGCACAGCATAGTAGAACTAGATGATGTGTACCTTTCAGTTTAATAGCCCTAATGCACTGTTCACTCTTCATAGCCTCCCTTGTTGCTTTTAATGCCTTCCCCTGAAGTGTTATATATATATATATATATATATATATATATATATATATATATATATATATATATATATATATAAAATCCAAACCTTGATCCGAAGATCGGGTTTAAAACTATTTGCTCCGATACCAAGTTGTAACACCCTATTCTGTCTAGGCCTACAGCCCCTTTCGGACTAAAGTATTAACTTGGTAATCGTAAAAATTTAAAACATTTCAAACATCTTTATTTATCATAAATAAAATTCAATACATAACCGTTGAAGTACAGAGTGTTTAATAATGCGAAAGCGAATTTAAACCATGTTTCATAACAACCCAATTATTTATTTTATCCATAAATCCACCACGACGGTCTCGTCCCATCTGCTGCCAGGATTATGCCATTCATTTATTCTGCCTACTTGCGTGTAGCAAATAAAAACACACTACACGCTCAGTGGTGAAGCTGAGTAAGCATATCTAAAGTGTCAAACATCCATATAAATTGAATCTCAATTCGTAATGAATCATTTGATATCATGCACACAATATATGATTCAAGTATTCATGATATTCTAGATATTTTATTCCAAGTCATTTTATTATATATACAATATTCAATATCTCAACAATGCTCTTAGATTATTCTTAATCTAAGGCCAAATGATTTCATAACAAACTCGTATCTATTCCTAGTCTAAGACAATATTTCTAACCAGACTCTTAAACTATAAATAGTTTAATGCAAAACACAAGAATCGATAATCTGCCCTATGAGTCATGTGGATTACTTACTAACCGAACAGTGAACTGTCGGGTGGGTGATATCCGGTTTGGATCCTGTACATACATTTTAACCCCGAATTATGAATTGGTCAAGGAGGTATATCTTAGAATTCTTCTAGATATCCTTAACATTACTCATCATTTTCGTGATCATCAATATATCCATTTTTAATCATGATTTAATAATTCATAAACATTACTTAAATCAAAATAATTAAGCTCAATCATCATAATCATAAATCAATGATATACATCATAATCATCAATCAATAATAATAACAATTTGCGGTATAGCATCGAGTGTTAACACCCTAGCTTACCGTCATGCATCACATAAGATTTTATTTGTCAAAAACATCATTTTTATTGTGAAAAATCATCTTTTTATTGATCATAATTGATTAGTATCAAAAATAAGATTTTAGACCTCAAAAATAGCATTTTCGAAAGTATTTTCAGATCAAAATTTTGGGGGATCGATCCAGGCTAGAGAAATGTCCCCAGGTGATCGATCAAGTGGGGTGGATCGATCCACCTTAGCTTGCTGGTTTTTGATCACTGTTAATCTTTTTCAACCTTCGGGTCCAATTTCAAAAATACCATTTTAAGTCACCGAACTTCAATTAAACTATATAGAAATATTCTCCAAGGTTCATAGATTATTTTGGTATCATTAATTCATATTTTTAACTACAATTTCAAGGTTTATGATTCTTAGTTCTTCAAGCATGTCAAACAAAAAACTCTACCAAACGACCGTTTATGAACGTAGAAACGACCTATATGAACATTCTAATTATTGGAAATTCTCTGGCGAAACTTCCGGTGACGATTACCCTCAGCTCGGCGACTTCACACCAAAATGACAACACCTCTACACTGCCCACACTCTCAAGAACTCACAGTAAGAAGAATTAGGTGAAATGGTGAAGGAATGAGCTGAAGAGGTGTTGCTTCTACGATTTTGGAATCAGCGTGATTGCACAGGGGGCCGTTTGATGATTAGTTCCCTCATTGGGACTAATTTTGGCCCCAGTCGGGGTACATTTTTTGGTCCAACTTTCTCCAAATTGAAATCTGCTTGAATCATTACAGTTAGACAGTCAAACTCTACACAACATTATAATTTTCATTATTTATTGAAAAACTTCATAAATCACTTATTTTTGGGTCTTTCTCAGTAATTAATTAATTCATAATCAATTAATTCTGATAGGCCTATTTTTGGGGCATTACATTAAATCTCCTGCATATTTAGAAAGAATTCAAGGAGATATTTATGGGCTAATTTCCCCAACATGTGGACCATTTCCTTATTTTATGGGGTTGATCGACGCATCAACACGTTGTTCACATGTTATCTTTTATCTACAAAAACTTTTGCATTTGCAAAACTCTTTGCTCAAATAAATGTTTGAGGGCTCAATTTCCAGACTATTGAACAAAGAAAATCCGACTAGATAATGAAGAAGAAAATGAACAAATTGTTCCAAATGAGGATTTAACAATATCTGAAGATGCAAATAATTCAGATTAAGATAGAAACATTGATAAATATGAGATCTCAATTAATTACGTTTCTATGGGATTGCAATAAAACAGAAAAGAAGTTTATGTACATGATATATTTGCATATGTCATTGCAACAAACATAATAGATGAAAATGATGATATCGAGTCAACATCAATTGATGAATGTCGACAACGATATGATTGGCCAAAATGGAACGAAGCAATCTAGGAAGAATTGAAATCACTTGAAAAACAAAGTGTGAAACCAATTGGTTTCAAATGGATTTTTGTGCGCAAAGTAATGAGAAAAATGAAATTGTGACATATAAAGCTTGACTTGTTGCCCAAGGTTTTTCTCAAATCCAGGGATAGCTTATGAAGAAACTTATTCCCCAGTAGTTATTGCAACTACGTTGAGATTTTTGATAGGCATGTCCGTCTTTGAAAATGTTCAAATGCATTTAATAGATGTAGTGATAGCATATCTGTATGGATCTCTCGATACTGACATATATATAAAAGTTCTTGGAGGCCTAAAGAGGTTTATAGTTCAAAACCTCGAGAGATGTTTTCAATGAGTTAGAAAAGTTACTATATGGACTAAAATAATCTGTCAAAATGTGGTATAATCATCTTAGTGAATATCTGCTGAGAGAAGGATACAAAAATGATCCATTAGTCCATGTGTTTTCATTCACAAATCTAAATAAGGCTTTGCCATAATTGTAGTATATGTTGATGATTTAAACATCATTGGAACTTCTGATGAAATTGAAAACAATACAAAATATCTCATGAAAGAATTTGAGATAACGATCTTCGGAAAACAAAATTTTATCTTGGTTTTCAAATTGACCATTTGAAGGATGAAATTTTTATCCACCACTCAAATTACACGAAGAAGCATCTGAAGAGGTTTTACTTGGATAAAGCACATCCTCTCACATCTCTGATGATTGTTCGCTCTTTCAATGTACATGATAATCTGTTTCGACTTCGTGAAGATGATGAAAAAATACTTGGTCCAGAAACCCCATACGTGAGTGCCATTGGAGCTTTGATTTATATTAGGGCTGAGCAACGATCGGTTTTGGTCGGTTTTGGTTTGAAACCTAAAAAACCAATTTTTTAAACTTAGTTGAAAACCGACCAAACCAAACCAATCATAAACTAAAACTGACCGAACCGAAACTGAAAGCCGCCCATACAACAAAAAAACCAACTGAAAAACTGAATTTTAATTACTTTTATTTTAACTTTTTAATATAAATTCAAGAAACTAATTCGGTGAGGTAGATTGATATGTATTAAATTAGTTTAGATTAAGACTTTTCTATTGTCATTAATTTAGTAAGGTAGATTAATTTTTATTTGAATATACACTATCCATTTCATATAAAAATTGCACTTTTCTTATTAATATATTCAAAACATTAACAAATAATTTTTTTAAAAGTGAAACATTAAAGTTTTTCATGAAAGAGTAAGAAGAAAGCATGTGTGTTAATAAAATATTTTCTTATTCTAAAAAATAAAAAATAAATTTAAATAAAATCATCGGTTATTCGGTTGGTTCAGTTTTTTGTTACAAAAAAACCGAAAACCGACCGAAAAACCGAAAATACTTTTACATGAAAACCGAAACCGAAATCGAAACCGAACTTTCGGTTATTTCGGTTTTTGGTTTCGCGATCGGTCTAGTTAGTTTGCTCACCCCTAATCTATATGGCAAATAACACTCGACCATAAATTGCATTCTCATTAAACTTGTTAGTCAGACACAATTTTACCCCGACAAGGAGGTATTGGAATGGCATTAAACACATTTTCTAATATCTCAACGGTACCATCGA